CTTCCAGTACTCGGCCTCCCTCTCGACGGCGGACAGCGACGCCTCCAGGACCCGCCGGTGCAGCTCGAAGCGCCTCCTGCGCAGCTCCACGTCGGCGCGCGCGGCGGCCACCAGCTGCAGTTGCTTGTCCACCCGCAGCTGCCGCTGAGCGTGACGCCGGATGACGAGCGGGTCGGTCTCCATTGCCGCGCTGCAGCGCTCTGCGCTCCCAGTGCGTCCGTCGGGGCGAGCGGCGGCGGCCGGACTGAATGTGGCGGCGGCGTGGCAGCGCCTCGCCTCGGCCGGCTGCTGGCTGCCGGATGCCGCGGGGGGAGGGGAGGAGGGCAGGGGGGGGGCCCTCTGTGGTGTGACCCGAGCTGGGTCGAGTCAGGGTGAGGTGAGGAGGGGTGCAGATAGGAGCTCTCCTCTCAAGGGCCTCGCTACGAGTACGGGGGGAAATAGGGTATAAAGCATTCCGGTAAAGCTGAGATGCAGAAGAATGCAGCGAACAAGAAGACGGATGTCACCATGTTAAAGCAAAGCGATCCGTCAGTGCTGCCAGACTAGAGCTACATGAATAGGGTATCCCTTTAGAGCGCGGAGCGGAACTAAGAAGAACAAAAGCGGATACAGAGAGCGGTAGTGGGGGCGGGCGCGCGGGGGAGCGGTGGGTGGGAGGGGAGCCTACCCGCCCGCCCGCCGCTCCTCCGCGCGCCCGCCCCCACCACTGCTTTCTGTATCCGCTTTTGTTCTTCTTAGTTCCGCTCCGCGCTCTAGAGGGATAGCCTGTAGGGTACTAGTCTAGAGCGCTGAGCGGAAGTAGAAGAACAAAAACGGAAGGTGGAAAGGCGCCCGCGCCGTCCCCCTCTCCTCCACTGGGCGAAGTGGGGGAGCGCCCGGGGAGAAGAGGAGGCGGCAGGCGGGGAGGAGTGCGGGCGCCTTTCCATCTTCCGTTTTTGTTCTTTTACAGTCGCCTCACTATAAGAAGTAACTTGAACATTGCGCGTTAAGAAAATAGTCCCTACCATCGTGATGAACTAACTTCTAGTCTAACCATCGCACGGCTGAAAACTAAATACTAAATAATAAGGTATTCCGGAGAACTGGAAAAGAAGAATAGCACGAATTACAAAGAGGCCTGTGATTCGTCGCTCAAGTGGAGGGGGAGACCAGGCGACGAATCACGGGCCACCTTGTTATTCGTGCTGTTCTTCTTTACCCGTTCTCCGGAATACCTTATGGACCAAACTTTATCGTTTAGCACTGGATGATTTCTGTTACAAGACAGTTACGTTTAGACACTTTAATAAGAATTTTTGCGTACAGCTATTGCTCCGCCAGGTAACTCCTTATAGCAAGGCGACTGTACTTCCGCTCAGCGCTCTAGACCAGTACCCTATCCGCCGCCAGAGGGCAGCCGATCCGCACCAATCCGCAGCGGGCTGAATCCGCGGGAATCCGCAAGGTTTTTGAATTTTCCGCACGATTTTCCGCACCGAGAAAGGTCTGAATTTTCTCACGACATACATTAATTTGGCCAAAATTTCCTCACTAATCTTTGTAATAATGAAAAAATATAAAGAGGAGTACATAGAAAGTGGAAAATATTCAGTGACTTTGCTGTAGGTTCGGCTCTCTGAGCATCATGTGTAACCCAACGGCATCAAAACCCCCTGGAAAGAGATAAATTTAGACGTTTTCAGTCGTTCCGCACGATTCCGCACGTTTCAAATTTCAATCCGCACGAAATGCGGATTTCCGCAAACAGGGATTTTGATCCGCGAAGAGAGGTGCTAATTCCGCACGTTTTGCGGAAACCCGCACTATCTGGCAGCACTGAGCCAGTGAGTGTCAGGGAGCGAAACAGTTCAGGAATCATTGTTGTTCTTCTTTGGATCCGGTTGAAACTGGGTGAAATACCTTTTAGGGTACCTAGCTACATGACATTTTTACTGTAACTTTGAATCATAAAAAACAAAAACTGTATTGATTTTGAGCCCTCTAGCTCAAAAATTAAGCATTCCGATAAAGCTGAAATGCAGAAGAATACGGGTAAGAAGAAAAATGAAGTCACCATGTTAAAGTATAGCGATTTCCGTTTTCTTCTTCCCCGCATTCTTCTGCATTTCAGCTTTACCGTAATGCTTGATTGATTTGCCAAAAAAAAAAAAATCAGAATCATAGGACTCCGTTTGGCTCTATCTCCAACTGTTTAGGCGCCAGAGGGCGATTTCCACACAGATATCACCCAAAAACATTCGGATATTTTTCTCAGATATTTGATGGTCTCCTCTGGTGAGGTAACTCTTCGAAATAAAACCCCGAGAAGCAAAATTTGTGACTTTTGGGGCCGACGGCCTATTTACGACTGTATGCCAGGCGCCTCGCAGCGTACGTGTTTCGTGAGATTTCGCGAAGCCTGTTACGCGAGACGTGGTCGGGCGTTGTCTACATAGTTTAAAACTAGGTAGACGCACGCCAGACCACGTCTCGCGTAACAGGCTTCGCGATATCTCACGAAACACTTTTGCGCTGCGACGCGCCTGGCACACATGTACCTCTAGGCCTGCGGCGCTGACACCCGAGTCGGGTAGCTCGAAAATGTTCACAAAGTCAGCTTACCGTCACTTCGACTGAGCATGCAGGGTTGTACATTTTTTCGCTTGTTTTCGTCAAAAACTCCCTGTGGCGCCTAAATGGTTAAGGATAGAGCCAAACGGACGAAAGTTTCGCCCATAGCACTCTACTTTGACGAGTTACCCCTTAGAAAGCTGTACAAAAAATATTTTTAAAAAACATTATTCGTGGGACCTGTGGTTTTTGATTTTTTTTAAATCCAATTTTTGAGCTAGAATGCTCCTCTTCGAACTTGATCTGTCTTTTTATAATACAAAACGACCCTGAAAATCCCAGGTCGCTAGACGAATAGGGTATAAAGCATTCCGGTAAAGCTGAAATGCAGAAGAATGCGGGGAACAACAAAACGGAGATCGCTAGGATGCTTTAACATGGTGACTTCCGTTTTCTTGTTCCCCGCATTCTTCTGCATTTCAGCTTTACCGGAATGCTTTATTTCAAGAATCTATTCCGAAAAGTAGTACAGAAGAAGAGCACGAATAACAAAAGGGCTACTGCGCATGAGCAGTCTAGGGTGGGGGACGGCCCGGCTAGAGCGGCGCCGCCCGCCGCCCCCCACCCTAGACTGCTTATGCGCATTAGCCCTTTTGTTATTCGTGCTTTTCTTCTCTACCACTTCTCCGGAATAGCTTATGGAGCGCTGCCCGGAACTAAGAAGAACAAAAGCGGAGACATAGAGTGGTGGTGGGGGCGGGGGCGCGGAGGAGCGGCGGGTGGAGAGGACCCTTCCCGCCCGCCCTCTGATCCTCCGCGCGCCCGCCCTCAGCACCGCTCTCTGCATCCGCTTTTGTTCCTCTAAGTTCCGGGCATCGCTCCATTGAAATACCCTATTCGTTCTCGAGTTATCGTGATGACAGACAAACAGACAGACGCGAAACTTTTTGATCATCACTGGAGTAATAGGCTTCGCTAATCGCTCAGCCAATGTATAGGATCACAAAGACCTTTGAACTTCGTTCTTTTGCACACGCTGAATACTTTCGAAAAGGCATGACAAACATTTCAAAGACCTCTGCCGTATTCCCTATTATCAAAAATATCTAAATCTGATTTCACTCACATGCACTGTTCACTCGCTACTCCGTAGGACCTTCCGGGACTCTGGAAACGCCCGATACGAACATAAGACACCACTTTGAGCAGCTGCTTGTCGATATCTGACTAGTGCCCGGATTTAACCTTCGGGTTCAATAAAGCATTCCGGTAAAGCTGAAATGCAGAAGAATACGGGGAAGAAGAAAACGGAAGTCACCATGTTAAAGCATAGCGATTTCCGCTTTCTTCTTCCCCATTCTTCTGCATTTCAGCTTTAGCGGAATGCTTTATTCCGGACAGGCTTTCTGTGATACTCTTAGGTGCATATGTGCAGGAAAAAAAATCTTTGAGGGGCGGAAAATATGTGTCTTGATGTGCCATTTGTAGTTTCCGTTGGAACTTTTCGTAATTCAAATCCCATAAATAAAACGATAGAAAATGTCCGGAATTAGACATTTTGACGGCACTGATATCTTGAGTGATATTTTTTTTTTTATTTACGTGCCATGGACCCATATCTACACCCATGTTGACGAGTTTTTTCTTGCACTGACTGCAATAAAGAATTCCGGTAAATCTGAAATGCAGAAGAATGCGGGGGCCTCAGGGCTTCTAGATCCGGTCGTCTGCTGTCAACTGCACAGTGGCGTTAGGTTAGGTGATGGTCTGGATTTTAATCTCGATTTTTAGAGTGAGAATATCATATTCAAAACACTTTCACTGGCATATTAACACGCAATCACAATAACCTGAAACATGATGTCGTGGCAAACAAACGCGGCAAATCAATGGACAGCAGACGCACGGATACAAAAGCCATGAGGCTGAGAGCGAACCAGCGCCATCTTCGCCTCCCGTTTCCGGCCCCAAGCTTACCCAGAATACCATTTGAACCGAGGGGTCGCCAACTCACCTCAGCAGTGTACGGAGATAAGTATTATGTGGTTTTATGATGGCACGTTTTAAGGGATTTTGTGTTATGTTATTTGTTATCATGTAGTAATATAGACTACTATCAGGTGTTACACGGTATTTTGGGGCTATTTCGGGGTATTTTGTGCCTTATAATGGAGTATTATAAAGGTATGGGACACGTGTACGGAGTATTATGCGAGTTGGCGACCCCTCGATTCGAACATGTCACTGGAAATCGTGTCAATGAACGCATGTCCAAAAAAAATCAACTTTTTTATTTAAAGGTATTTTGACACGAAAACTATATATTCTGAAAATAGACCGAAATTCAATCGACTCGATTTTTTTGGACATACGTTCGTTAACACGATTACCAGTGATGTTCGCTCATGTATATTGCTCGGCCGAACCGAAGAGGGTGCTGGTACAATATGTTTGTTTTTGTTTCATGTGGTTTCCAGACGTTTATTTAAGTCCATTGACTTGTGATTTCTGTTGAGGGTGAAAGTAGCTGCGCCGCCTTAGTAACTGTGCTTAGGCGCGATGACGTCGGCGACCTTCTGGCGGGCGCTGTCCACGCGGTGGATCAGGGCCTCCTTCGTATGATGGGCGGCTTCGTGGGCCTTGTGACCCACGGCCTGCGCCGCACCGGACGCGACCCGGGCGCCCCCAACAGCTCCGCCGACGGCGCCACCAACGACGGCGCCAGCTGCCGCCGCCGCATACTTGGAGGCCTTTCCTATTCCGTGTTCCAGGCGTTTGATCCCGTGGCGGAGTCCAGCCTCCGAAGCGGGGAGTAGGGCAGCGACCTGCGACAGAACGGTCAAGGGATCGCAATGTATCACACTATGATGCGTGCGTGCGCAGCACTGTGTGTGACGGCTCCGACCCAGGCGCGGATTAAGGGGGGGGGG